TCTACTGTACAAGCCCCGGATGACAGATGATGATGAATGTGGAGCAGTCACTGGAATGAGAATTGATAGGGCAAACCAGAGTACTCGGAGGAAACCTGCTCCAGTGCCACTTTGTCCACCACAAATCCAGCTGTCCTGAACTGGGCTCGTACTCGGGCCGCCCAGGTGCGAAGCCTGCGACTAACCGACCGATTTATGGCACTGCCATAATCTTGTTTCGATATTGTATATAAAGTTGCTGACCGGTCACGGTAGCCGAGCGGTCTAAGGCATGTACTGTCTTCGCTCGCTCGGAAGCCGAGATCATGGGGTCGAATCCCACTCAGGGCATGGATGTTTAATGTTTGTTTGTGTATGTGCGTTTTTCTGTATTTGTGTACAGGCAGAGGCCTTGCGACGAGCTGATCACCCGTCCAAGGAGTCCTACCGAATGTTTAAGATCTAGTAAACCGAAGTGAAACGGAGAATTTCATGGAGGTAGGCCTAGGCCCAAATGAGGGCTGTAGCGCCGAAGGAAAAATATATATATATATAAAGTTGCTGACTTTCAGTATGACGTGTGGTTTTCGTGGATGGTAATCTTCAACCACAAAAATTGTGGTTTTAATTAGGATTACACGAGATGGTTGTGTCGTGTCACGCAATATAGGCTAGAAAGTTTATGGGTTTACTTTATCACATTCTGCAGGAATTTGTTGCATGCGTCTGTCGTTGAGAAGGTGGACCACAGAGGGCGGATGGGGCAGTCTTTCTGGAATGTAGGGTTTGCCTGGCATTCTCGCTGACGGCTAAGCGGAGAAACGAAGCCATATAAACAGCCTACTGCCCAACTTCCTACTGATGTGGTCAAACGTTTCGACGTCTGCCGCAGATCAGAAGGAGCCGTGGCTTTCATGAGTGGTGACACGCCGCCTTTAAAACGAAACAGCGATTCGTGTCACATACAGAGTCTTGAGTTCCTGAGTTGCAAGGGTTGGAGGTCCCGCCATCTTTCTGCCAGATCCTGCATGTTTGGAGAATGGCTCTGGAACCTCGAGTGCCTTAATATCGGATTTCCCATTCAGGTTATTCATTGATGTCAACTCTTAAAGAAGACTGCGTACTGTGGATCTGGATAACCAAACAGTCGGCATATACGTGGACACAAAGGAAGAAAGAATAAAGGAAACTGTAAAGGAAAAGAGAGAAAAGGAATGAATTAACGGAAGAAGGGCTGTTGAGAAAGAAGTAGAGATAGAATGAAAGAAAGAGCGAGGGGAACATTTAAGGAAAGAAACAAATATTTCAGTTAAATCATCGGTTCAAAATATTCGTTTTAATTTGTAACAAACATATGGGTGTGTGCGTATGAGAGTGTGCTTGAAAGAGTGCGTGTGTGTGTGTAAAAAAAGAAAGAATGAAAGAGGAGCGTGTGTATGGATTTTTTAAAAAAGTATAATCCTTCAATAAAAGTAAAGTAAAGCTATCCCTGTACCAGGCCGTGAAGGCCGATGGGGTTGTGAGATGTTGAGGGTGCCACATTAACTAGACAATGAGCTCACAGATGGCGGTAAGGTTGTCAGCTTTAAGCGCCGGCCGCGCTTTACTCCCCAGGAAAATTATTTAATTAATTCCTGGTACTCATTTCTGTTAGAGGCTGAGTAAACCGCAGGGCCTAGTGCGGCTGGAAGGATTAGGTAAACTGAAAAATATTCAATGATCTCATCGGGACTTGAACCGGCGACCTTCCGGCTTGTAGCATAGCCCCTCAACCAACTACGTTACCTCGTGCCCCCGTCACAATATATACGCACATCTATAGAACGAAGGGGATTATGATAACCTACGAATTGTTTACAGGATTAAGAAACTGAAAAAACGGCCAAGGCCCAACAAAGGGCTGTAGAACCATAAAAAATAATTCTTCAAATTAAGCGATATAAGATGGGATAGGAATGTAGAAAACTTGGAGTAAAACATGAATACACTTTAGTGGAAGGTGTGAAGGAAAGAGGAGATTTAGAAGAACTGGTCATAGATGGGATGACAGAATTAAAATATACATTAAGTAAACAGAATGTAAGTATCTGAACTGAGTTCTTTTCACTCAGAATAAGGCACACTGGGGAGTTCTTGTGAACACGGTAATGCTTGTATAGGCTTCCCTAGAAGACGGGAAGCGACAGGCCGGGATCAATCCCAGGTCATGTCAAGTTGTATCTGTGTAGGATAAAGAGGTATTAATGTGCCTGTAGTTCTACCTCGAGTATCTCGGTTTCCCCCGCCAATTTTCATCCCACAAAAAGCTACATATTATTAATCACCCCATCATTAACGTTATATAATTTCGACACTGAGGATGACGTTAAATAAACATACTACCAAACTACAGGAGGGGAAATTCTTGACCAGATAAGCTCCTATTGTATCCTCATGAAGGCCCCTGCAACATGGAGATAATTAGACAGCAATAGGACAAATTTTAAGATGAAATACTGCCATAGATTGAGTGAAAGTGGCTGCCAGTAAGAGAGTTTAATGGTTCCTTTTGTGCAGAGAGATATCTCTGAAACGGATTTATAAACGAGGAAGTCCCGTTTGAACCTACTATAAAACTTTCAGAGGGTGACTCAGTGTTTTCCAATGAAATGAAAAATAACATCTAGTAGGACATAAATGTGAAGTAATAAAAGGCAAGAAATTAAGAAACGGAAGAGAACTTATCATATGTCAGTATATTTAAGCGTGACATAAATAAAAATCTAAAATGTTAGAGCAGAGTAAGAAAAGAGTAAATCAGTTCTCCATGGTCCATTTGTCACTAGATGTAATAGCAGTCTTTCTAATATATTTAACTCTTTATGTAATATATAGTGAATCCTATAAACATTGAAATCTATAAGTTTACTTTATAAAATATAGTTCAAAACATATTGCGCAAAATTTCCTAAATCAGTTATTAAAGCTCTTATATCTATAAAAAAGATTATGAGTGTTTGTTTGTTTGTTTACACACGTCTACTCCACCTCAGATACTTTGCATGATGGAATAATACCTCCTTGAAACTATTCCAAATAATACTATAACAGATTTGATCAAAGCATCGCCAGGCAACGGCTCGGTAAACACTTTCCAATATACAAAAATGGAGGAAAAACTGTGTTTTCTATGTTGTCTGCGCCAAGCAACAATGGAACAACGGGGTTTTTAACCCCGTTTCTTGGCAACGGCTCGGTAAACGCATTTCCGCCTATCGGACCATGCTATGCAACGCGGTAACGTCTTCGATAGTATAGACTGTGTTTTCCATGGGGTCTGTGTATAGTGCTTATAGGATAAGTTAGTTCAGGGCAGTTGCGAGACAGTTGCTGGCAGGACATAGCCACAGGAAGTTCGAAGTGAAGACTTTATGTGTGCTGTAGTGCAGTGACATTGGGAGTGTGACTGTTATAGTCCCTGTGTTAAAAATCAGTTGCCGGGAAACAGATAAGAAAACTATGCAGAGGAGCAACTACTGTTTAGATATATTGACTAACAACGACTAGTTACACCAGATATAGAAGAATTTATTCATATCTTATAATTACAGTAATCTTGAAAGTATTACAATTATTTTTAGTTACTACTAGTGAATATCCAATAAATCGATTCGCCAATCAAAACCCGTGTCTTTAGTCACTAATACGTGTGACAATTCATAGCGTTTCTTTGGAGGGACTGAGGAAATTTACGTAGGTCAAGATAACCAGTCACTGGGCTTAGAGTCGAACCTGGAACCACCCGGATAAAAGACACCGGTTAACATGCAAGAATTGGTTCACATACTGATCTTTTGATAACTTCACAATGTCACAAAATCCATATTATGAAAAACTAGAATGCTTCTAAACATCGAATTAGATGCAGAAAAAGTAGTCAGGATCTTTTCTAAGCTTCCTTCCCAGAATGATTTCAGAGCCTGAGGAAAACAACAAATTCCCTTAGGATGAACAATCTACCGGCACATTACACATGAACAGCGAACATATAAACCATGACAGTTTAAGAAAGGAAGTAGCGACCGATGCGGACAGCATTAGTAACTAATTGAGAAATCAGATATGGCTAGATCATAACAGATACATGAATATTAATTTGTGTTTAGAATTAAATTTACATTCATCGTAAGTAATACCAAGGTTACTTAGGAGATGATGCAAGTACTGGCAACACCACACAAACAACACTATACTTGTACATCAAACGCAGACAGCAGACATTGTGGTTGTGCTTGATATTGTGTGGAACTTAGAGCATGTGTGAAATTGTGCACACTTGAACCTAGTGAGGGCAGTGATTCATTCGAAACAGTGGTCAATCTCTTGAATGAAATGTAAGTAAATACATTCACACATAGGTTATAGATAAGTGTTACATAGCAAGACTTCGGCTTTGGGGAATACGAAATGTAGAACGTTAGTTTTCCAACATTTCAGCAAATACTCAGTTGATACCTTCAGGATTAATGACTGTGGGGCCTATTGACAGATCCCTTATATATCCTGCAGTGGACAGTGAACCAGAGATGGTATGCTGAATTTAATTTGTTTTTAATGGACACTGTATGCGGTTCTAATTGCCCCATGTGTGGTAGAATATTGTCACGTGTTTCAGTGGCTAAGATGCGGGTTCGTCAGATCTTCATTAGTCGTAACCACAATTAGTTCCTACACTCTCAGGATTATTGTAAATATAGCACATGTAACGTCACACACTAAGCCTTCTAGTTCCTCTTCTGGCCACACTGCTGTTCCTTTGGAACTTCGGAATTCAAGCGAAATCAATCCCAATTCCCGTATTCTGACATATCCTCTAGGCACGGACCACGCACAGAAAACACAGTTCAAAATTCAATATGAGAAACTTTCACTACAATAATTATGTATTTTCAGTATTCAGCCATATTTATCCAGAATAAATCCTAGTAGATACGTGTCCGGCCGGTCACGGTAGCCGAGCGGTCTAAGGCATGGACTGTCTTCGCTTTCTTGGAAACCGGGATCGTGGATTCGAATCCCACGCAGGGCATGGATGTTTAGTTTGTGTGTGTGCGTTTTTCTGTGTTTGTGTACAGGTAGAGGCCTTGCGACGAGCTGATCACCCGCCCAACGAGTCCTACCGAATGTGTAAGATCTCGAAAAGCTGAAGTGAACGGAGAAGTTCATGGAGATAGGCCTAGGCCCACTGGGGCTATAGTGCCAAGGAAAAAAAAAGGTACGTGTTCATACATGAGCATTTCTGTATATGCCAGAAACCATTATGTAAACATTTTGGAAATTCAACAATCGAGACTTGCACTTATATGCATTTTATTGTTCCCATTCTTAAGTAAGGTCAATATCGAAGAGTGCAGTTTGTAATTCCGTGCACTACATGATGAAGTACATCATTTCTGACCTTGATATCAGTTCTGCGCTTCCACTCTTTGCATCAGGGAAGAAAATTGATGAAACAACATCTGGGACGCTGCAAGTCTGGAGCTGGAGTAACGCGGAGGCAGTAATGAAACGATTATTGAAATAAATTTCCCTCTTTGTTCGGACGTGGAACGGTATAAATCATCTCATGGTAAAACGATTTCCCCATTCTTCGCGGGGGCATATGTGTTAGTTTCGAGGTTCTCACAGCCATAAGTACGAAGAACATTATCTTCCGGGATATGGCGCCGTGTAGTCCAGTAGAACTGAACAGATATTTCGAAGGCTCATACTCCTTCTACTGGAGTAAGCAGCTTTATACCGTAGAATACACTGTTTATTCATTCATCAATGGCTCCACAACCCTTTGTTGATTCTTGGTCGCCATTTCAGTTTCTTAATCTTATATTCATTTGCTAGGACTCCTTGTACTGGGAATTAGTGCATCACAAAGCAGCTAACTATACACAGGACAGCACAAACACGCACAGATATTCATGCCTCGAGCGGGATTCGAACCCACGACTCCAGCGTTCAAGCGGACGAAGAAATGTCATGCCTTAGGCCGCGCGCTCACTGTGATCGGTAGAAGATAATGTACTTTTCAGTATGTATGTACTTTCGTTTCCGTAAAGGCAGTGTTGTCCGTGCGCTTAATAATTAAGCAACAAGCTATGATGGCGTAGAGAGTAGTAGAGGTATAGCTCCACCATTCCTGATCTCTGCACTAGATGGGAGGTGAATGGGCAGATTCACGCTTCTGCCACTTTATCCCAGGAAAACAGATATTGGTACCTATTGGATAGGAGGCTGCATGAGCCCTAGAACCGGTCTGCGCTCTAGAGAAGTGAAAAATCGCATCCTTATCTGGACTAGAACCCCGAATATCCAGCTAGTAGCCTGTCGTTAAGAGTCTTACAATAACATATTTTCTATGGCAAAGTTACGGTGACCCCGCAACGAAGATATTTGCCCTAATCTGAACATAGTGACGAGTAGGTTTACGGACCGCAAGCGGATAAGTGTCTACAGTTCCTGTTGCTATGAGACCTATTTTATTGCTATCAGCAATCCTCGACGTCAAAGGAAAACCCGAGTCAGTAAATTATTGTCGGAATTTCCCTTTATAATCCACGGAAACCCTGAAAATATTTTAGAATCACCTCTGTACGTTCATGCTTGATATTTCTTATTAAAAAACATACGAATATACCATGGGGGTACGCAGTAGGGTAGTTGGTTGAGGAACCATACTACAAGCCGGAAGGTCACGGATTCGATTCCCAATGAGGTCATTGGACTTTCAATATGACCTTAGGGTCGACTCAGCCTCTAACAAAAATTAGTACCAGGAATCTTCCCGGGGGGTAAAAGGGCGGCCGGCTCGTAAGGCTGACAACCTCACCGCCATCTGTGAGCCGTTGGTCTAGAGAAAATGTGGGAGCCTCGACGTCTCACAACCAAATGGACCTTCACGGCCTGTTGCATGGATATATTTAACTTTATGTAGACCGTAGGCTTATGAGCCCATCTATGCAGTAACTACTTGTGCTGCAACTGTTCCTGAGTATCAGACGTGACTCGGGTCGTCATGAAATTCATCCTTTAGGGAACCCGAAGGTATATTACTTTTCTAAATGTAATATTATTAGAGCCATAAATAAGAAGAGTATTCCTTCAGGATTGTAACATAAATTAATTTGGAAACAACTCGACATTTTGGAGGAGCAAGTCGAATCCTTCTTCAGAATCGAAGGGTAAGCCAAGCAAGAAGCCAGTAGATGCAGTCGCCAACCAGCGCCTTCTATCTTCACTGTCGAATGGTGAACTTTTCCTTCGATATTAAAGAAGGGTCATACTTTCCTTCAAAACGTCGATGAACTTTCTAACCCGACTCCAAGTTCACGTGATATCATATCTCGACCTTCATACTTACGTCCCTAACATATACTTTAATGTTCACGACAATCAAAACCACCGGTGTTACAACCTAGAATCCTACATATCGTAAGGTATTTCATCATTAATATGTCCTCTCACTTTGATAATCTCCAATCACGGTTTGACGCAGAACTAAATTTTCTCATTTCCCGATCGTACATAGTAATTTCCTGGATGTAATTAGCACACTCACTGTATTACATGAAGGGTACAAGCATGAGTTTCTCATTAAGGAAAGCTTATTTTCTTATTGTAATTAATTTCACAGTAAACGGTTAATGGTTACTCATCCAGCCGGAAAATTCTTTACTCTCATTTTCCGCTTTAAAGCACAGAGGTTACTACGACTTCAACGTTCAGAAGTTCATCTTTTCGACAGAGAGCGCTGAGTTCACATGATTCTAAGAAAATAACAGGAATTATTTCCCTAAAATCATTAACCACTTTCGTCTCTGTAATAGACAGGCAGTGTTCTCTGTGAGCGAGGAAAAGAATTCTTAATTATCTTAGAAAATTATCAGATTTAAGTTGATTAATTCTGTTCATAAATGTTAAATATTACACTTTGATGCATTTTAATCTGATTTATTCCTTCAAACACAACTACTATATCATAATTTTTAATATTTTCACTTGTATGTGTGACTATAGACGGGGTTTGGTTTGGTGTCTCAATTTATTGACGGCTTACAGGTCGTACTACAAACAACTGTAACCCAATTTCTGTTTCCATACTTCAGAGTTCACTGTTACTCACACTAGTGTCCTCAGTGTACTGCTGTCTCACTGAATCATCTCTCTTCGTCTTCGTCTTCTTACAAGACTAAAGGCGTCACAGGCAAGTAGCTGATATTTAAAGCTAATTACTTTATTACAGTTGAGAGTTCGTAGCCGGAGACGAGTGATATATATAATTAAACTTTTCCTTTATGAGATGATATAGTTCAGTCAGTATAGTGACTGGCTACGGGCTGGTTAACTGGGGTTCGATTCCCATCAGTCACAGCATCCAGACTGGCTCTGAGGTCAACCCAGCCTCCTATTCAAAGGATAAAGCGGCCGGGGCCGTGAATGTGACCACTCATCTCTATCTGGTGCCGAGGTTAATAAGGTGGAGTTATAAGGCCCTGGGGTTCACTCAGCCTCTAACAGAAATGAGTACCAGGAACTAATTAAATAATTTTCCCGGGGAGTAAAGCACGGCCGGCGCGTAGGGCTGACAACCTTACCGCCATCTTTGAGCCGATTGTCTAGATAGTGTGGGACCCTCAACACCTCACAAACCTATGGGCCTTCACGGCCTGGTATGGGGATAGCTTTACTTTTTGCTTTAACTTTTACTCCCCATTACGTCTTCATGGTGTGCTACTGAACTAATTAAGCACAGGCAATCTCGTTCTCCTTCAAATGATACCTTCCGCAATTTTGTTCCCCGTAGCACTAGATATTTCTCCCGCGTTCTGCTTGGCAAGTGAGAAGATTTTTTACGGTAAAAATTTGTTGTGACACAATGTTTAGAAAATTAACACTCCCACCAAAATATTCATGGCTCATTTGAAACTTTTTATTCACTCTTCTCATCAAACTAAATATTTATTAAGATTGTTGTCTCCTGGGTTGTGGCACCGTGTAGTTTTATGGGCGGATACAGACATACCGGAAAAGCGTCTGCCTTCCTCTACACGGTTCAAGAGTGACGGTTTTGTTGCATAGACAAATTGCAAGGAGGCTGATCATGAGACCAGGATGGAGGGGGGATGGAGAGAAACCCGGTCGAAGAGAATAAGAACAGATGGGCAAAATATGGACGATAAACACGTCTATAAGAAGAGGATATTAGCTTACGTCACAGGAAGGAGACAGAATATTGAGACAAACTGAATTACCCTCCATGTAACTTAGCTATGCAATGAAGCCTGTTTCTGCAACTACACACTTATCATAAAGACGGAAGAAGGGTGTTGCTCCCGAACAC